AATGTGACAAATATCTGTAGGTAAAACTATAAATTAGTAATTAAAAGAATCAAGGAATTAGATAAAAGGATAGAATTCCATGACTTTAGACAGGAAGTTTCATTACTATGTCAGTACAGATTTAAGCTATAGATTCAACGGAAGTCCAACAAAATGTCTAACTATTAATGCTATCAACAACAGAAAAATGAAAAATGATCACCATGAAGAACAAATGATTTACACAAGACTGAATAAATAGTACACATAGTGACATCAACTGGCTTGAAAACTTCCCATATACCTACAATAAGACTGTAGTGTTTGGAAAAGAATAAAGACATTAACAGAACATCAGAGAAAATTTAGAAATAGACAAGATAAAAAATATAGTCAGTGTTGACAAATGAGGACATGAAAACTACCTCAAAGGATTTCATGTTACCTTGGAGAAACCCACAGGACCTCACTGGTCTCCATGGGAAGTCATGGTACCTCAAGGAACCTCATAAGACCACCTGGATCAACATGGAAACTCTCATAAGACCTCATAGGTCCTTTTTGCCGTGTGCTGTCATTTCCATCCATGCCTCCCATGACCCGATATCTTTGCCACTTACCTGCCAGTGAGTGCTTTTCCATTTTGATTGCCACATAACTATGCCACTGCACAGGCCCCATGAACTGCAGATGTTCTTTGGCCTCCTTTAGGTGTTTGTCTTATACCCAATTGTTGTTTAATGATTTTGTGATATCTTCTTCCTCAAACTTGGCCATTCCATCTCAAGTCTAGAGGTTGACACTTTCCATTTTAGTTTGGGATCTATCAATGGTTGATGAGTCATCAGTAAACCATGCCTTAGCCAAATAATTTGACCATTCTGTTGGTCTCTGCAGTTCAATAGTTGCCTCTCTTGGAGGACGGGTGAGCACTTTAGGCTCTGAACTATTTCTTCAGTGCTAACCATATCCCAGTCACTAAGGAATTCTGATATGTACTGTTTCCACTGTAATACCTTTCCTTCCATGCTGAGGACTCTGCCTTTGAAGAGATCCAATCCATCACTGTAAGGGGTACCTAGATCACCATAGGATAGTTGGCCTTCACTATCAGGTTCTCCATGCCTCAAAAAAATGTGCAGATTTTTTTTTGAGAGGATATTTATTCTCATTATCTAGAAAGTGTTTGCAATAGAATCCATATAGTAAATGTAGGTGGACTCCTTTTTGCTTTATGAAGAGTTCATAGATGCCAATTAAGCAATAAATATGCTGATATCTATCATCAGGATACCATCTGATTAAACAGTTGTGAAGGTTGCATGCATAGAGAAGAGCATAAAGGCAGCCACAAAAGCTGCTCTTTTTTCCCCGTCTCCACTGGAAATTAGCTGCCTTTCTAGTAATTCTGTAGAGGATTGATTACAATAACCTGTAAACACTGCATCTGACTTTTGACCCTGAGTAGTGGCAATAAAGGTGTGAACTACCACGTCTTTAAAAAAAAGTAAACTGTAGTGATCTGTCTCTGCAGGGATGAAGAGCATGGGCCATCACTGCTCTCTCAAACATCTTAGCTCCGAATATAACTCTGAGAGATTTAGAAAAACAGTTTGAGCTGTAGTAACCCTTTGAATTAATTTAAAAAATGTAAATCTCTTAACTGTGATTTTTAACAGCAAACAATACAAATATCCTTTTTGTTTAAGAAGAAAACTCAAAAGCTAATGTCCAAAATATCATGTGTCATGTTACAATCTACAGTCTATCATTTGTAGCATGGAATTGAGACATGGAGTACAAGAAAAGCCATGTTTCATTTCATGCCAGTAAGACACGTGTGCTGCTGGTAAATTATCATTTCAAATTTATTTTTTTAATTTTTTCTTGTCTGATCAAGTGAAGGGCATTTGTTAGTCTTTATATTAGCTTGGATTGAATGACCAAGCTGTCTGATGAACTCTTACCTCTTCTTATTAAGCAGGTCCTTCCTACTCAAACCCTACCTTTATCAATCCTGATGGTATTCATCACTATTTTCCTACTGTGAAAGAAAAGGTATAATCTCTTCTCCAATGGAACACATATTCCAGTTTCCATTCTGAGGTTAACACATCTTTAAAATATACAAACTAATTTAATTCAGAAGTTCTTTGTACTATACAATATCTCTCTGTGCCTACTGTCTGTTCTCAAGGGCATATAAAAATTTGAAGTTAATAAACCACTGTGTAATCTAACTTTGGGAGTTTTGATGCTGACAGATAATGATTGGATCAAATTTAATATTGGGGCCTCCAGAAGGCCCACTCAGAACATTTCCTAATGTCAAAGGTTTACCTTGTCTGTCCCTTCATGGTCTGAATTCAGCCGTACAATGCCAGCCTTTGCCACACCTTCTGCATACTCCAGAAGGCCGAGACCTTTTAAAATTATCTCTAGAAAAAATGATGAGCATTCTATGCAGGGGCTTTACCCATGAGCCACAACATTCTCTGGACTTATTAAATACTGCACTGTAGTCATGTTTATTGCCATAACTGAGTTTTGGGTTCAGAAGCTCAAAACTATCTACTAAGCCCATCTGCCACATTCCTGCCATCACCCCATGTTCCACACTGGTTATGTTTCCCTCTCACAGTAAGCTTACACTCCCTGGTGGATACTTGTGATGTAGGTGGCATATCAGAAGTTGTAACATGTGAAGTGTTGCAGAGTAATGGGAATCACAGGCAAAGTTTAGGGAGTCATGGTGTGATGGGGCTAGCTGAGCACCATTGGTACTGTCCAGGCTGATTTCCCAGTGCACAAGTCCTGGTCATCATCCTGCAGGCTGAGGAAGGTGGTCCCTAAGGCTTTATCTTGCAGAGGTAAATGATGGAGATTGAATCCCTGAGCTGTCTCCTCAACAGCCCTGGGCTTGCATCAGCTGCATCTATAGCAAGACACAAAAACACACCTCTGTACCTTAATCAAAACCCGAACTTCAGATTGCTGAAGGAGGGACACGTCACTGAGGCACCTGTCCCAGGCTGGATCCAGCAACCTATCCCTCTATGTACAGAGATGGTTTTCTCTATGTCCCATCACCTGACCATGTTCCATAGAGCCTACAGTAACTAGATTCTCTGCAACAAATCTGTCATTTGGCTTCTCAGTGCTTCCTCCTCCCCCTCTTCCTCTTCTTCCTCCTCAGATCTGGCCAGCATAGCCTGCTGCACCTCAAAGTCTCTTTTAGCAGAAAGGCTTCTTTGGAAGTTCTGTAATATGGACAGGGCAGGGGCTTCATGAGGGGCCACCCTGAGCCAGGATGCAACTAGGGATCTCTTTACTGGAACTTGGTACAGGGTACCTGATTCAGGACAAGAGCAGACCCAACTCAGAACTTGTGTTTGAATACCTAAGGTGCTGAAAATGTTCCTCATTTAAACGTTTGGGAAGGAAAAAATTCAAACAATTATTTTTTTACCCTTGACAGGATAAGAGATCATATTTTGATGTTCATCAAATCGTGGCATTCAGATTGGTCTCTTCACAGGGAAACATTCAGCTTCTAGGGATTTAAACTTGATCTCAGGTAAAACAAAGTACAAAAGGGGTAGAATATATAGGGTCAGAATGACAAACAGGAAAAGTAAAGCAATATATGGACAATACAGTCATGAATTTATGGGGATGTGATTTGTTACCACAATCAAAAACACAGATTATCTTTTAATGATTCAAGGCCCTGTGTACTCACAGCACAAATAAACCAGGCACTGTCCACTGTCTGAACTTCAGGTCAGCAAATACTTTGTCTATTTGGCTCTAGATAGAAAGCCACAATGCCTCCCCTGTCCTTAGGGTTTCCACTGGCACATTTTGGGGAATTATAGAGTCTGGCATGCCTTGCCATGCCCAATAACCCATAAAGTCAACTTGGAGAATAATATCAATTTATGAAATGCCCAACTTTGACCTGTGACCTCCACACATGCACATTCACACAAAGCACACACACAAAATGATACAACTGAGGGCTAGAGAGATGATTGTGGGGGTAATGATACTTGCTGCCAAACCTCTTTTATATCTGAGAACCATCACTGGGAACCACATGGTTGAAGGAGAAAATGGATTCAGGTAAGTTGTCCTCCGATTCCCACACATGCATGCCCACACCCCTACATTAATAAATATATGCAGACTTACAATTTTATAGGAGTACACATGGGATACACGGGTTCAAATCCTGCTAATGGCCCATTTATTGCTTTTTGCCTTTGTTGAGTGCCTTCACCTCCCTATGCCTGTTATTCAGACAGATGTAAGTGCACCACACTTGTTACCATAGTTACAATAACAAGTTGGAACAATGTCCAGAATTGCTCTAGCCACGACTGTCTTCCTTCTCTGTTTCAGTTTCCCATGTGAGAAGTGAAAGGATTCTGCAATACTTTGCCACCTGGGAGGTTTTTCAGTTTTGTGTAATCTCAGCATAGTGTGCTCCACCAGTGAGCAAGAAGGAAGCCTCTTTTTCATCATTCTTCTTGTCCTTGTCCAGGGATTCCTGGGAACAGCTCTGGCCCTGGCATGCTCATTCACCCTCTATATAAGGACGCTGAAGCTGCAACTAAGCCATGACCCTGGACTCAGTAGTGTATATCTCTCTCTTCATAAGCAATGTCTGACACCGCATTTGTGGCCCTAGCCCACATGAGACTCTCAGGACATTTTGACCCCCAAGAGGATCGAATCCTGGGCCTCTTCCCATCCTTCCATGCTGAAATGCTAGCATTCCATTTCAAGCAAGGTTCTGGAATATATTCCAACCCTAGAAACATTCAGATCTTGTCATGCACTTCTGGCTCCTACCTGTGAGCCCCAGGACACACAGTTAGGCCACTCTGTGCTCTGGCTTCTTCACTCCCTAGTCCAGCCCTGTTCTCCAGGTACTTAGGAAGCCAAGCCAAGGGGCAGGATTCAAGGGCTACAGTGTGAGTTCTCGGCCAGTCTAGGCAACTGAGATAGACTCTATCTCAAAACACACACACACACAGTTTATTTTAACAAAAGATGTGTTTGCAGTTTTGGTTTGGTTTTGGAAGGTTCAGTGTAGACCTGTATATGAAAAACTTGGCAACATCAATGTTTTCATATCAACTGGTGGTCATTGGATAGAATACTTGCTCAGGACACACAAGACCGTTGCATAAACAGGGCATCGTAGTAAAACCTGTCATCCTAGTAACTGGAGGTGGAAGCAGAAAGGTTTGAAGTTCAAGGTCAGCCTGAACTTCATCAGCCTGTTTAAAGAAACAGAAAAAAATTAAAAATTAAGAAAAAAATATCAGTGCTCAGTGTTCATCATGGCATGGCTCAGCAGGTAACCAAGACTGATGGACCTGGTGTGGTCCTCAAAACCCACAGTGTAGAAAGGAAGAACTGGGTTACACAGGCTGATATCTGATTTCAAACTATACTATTCATATGGACTCACAAAGATAACAATAATAAAATGAATCCTAAAAGAAATAAAACGGGATGAGAAATTGTTTAGCAGTTTAGCACCTGGCATGGACTGCACGGTGACCATTGCTGTTTGACAAAGTTCCAGCATTTCCTCATTGCCGATCTTAATTCTCCAGCATCATTTTTATTTCAATTTTAATAATTCTTACTATATGTTATGGAGTTTCCTTATGCCTTTTACTGTGGGAAATTTATTTTTCTGGCTACACTGGAGGATGGGAACATATACATAGGCAAGGAAGTCTCTTTAAACAAAATTCTTGGAAAAAATCCCACCACCATGGAACCACACAATGTTATTACTATGCCTACTCCCACACAAGAAGCCCCATTGTGTCCCCGATTACACCAAAAATAGAGAACTTAATGATTTACTAACTGGATATACCTAGTTCCAAGGATTAAAGCAACTATGAAAAACAAACAATGGGACCACATCCAGAAAAGCATTAAAATACTTGCTGAATTTATCACTTTTTGCAACAGGAAATATACTGTAATGAGGTTGATGGCTGCTTTTATCCTGGAATCATTAAACCTGCTTTTAACCTGCTTGAGTCTAACCTAAGATTCAGTTATAGAGCATTAAATGTGTAGTTGTTTTTCAATAAAGCAGCAGCTATACTATTTCATGCTCAGATCATGGCAGTCTCCTTCCTCTACTGATGCGTGATCTCTTCTTTGGGACCTGAACTCCTATGACACCGGACTCCAGCAAGTAACTCTTGTAGAACACACAATACAGTTTCCAACAGCCACATGGCAGCTCACATCACCTAACATCTGAAATTACTACATTGATTACATTCATATGTTACTGTCCAGTATGAATTCTTTCATGACTGTGAAGATTACTCTTCTTTGCAAATGCTTTACCACATTGGTCACATTTACAGGGTTTCTCCCCAGTATGAATTCTTTCATGACTTAGAAGGCTACTCTTCTGTATGAAGGCTTTACCACATTGATTACATTCATAGGGTTTCTCTCCAGTATGAAGTCTTTGATGACTGTGAAGATGACTCTTCCATGCAAAGGTGTTACCACATTGATTACATTCATAGGGTTTCTCTCCAGTATGAATTCTTTCATGGGTGAGAAAATAACTCTTCATTGCAAAGGCTTTACCACATATAAGGTTTCTCTCCTGTATGAATTCTTTCATGACTTTGAAGACTAATCTTCTGTGCAAAGGCTTTACCACATTGATCACATTTATATGGTTTCTCTCCAGTATGAATTCTTTCATGACATAGAAGGCTACTCTTCTGCACAAAGGCTTTACCACATTGAGGACATTCATAGGGTTTCTCCCCAGTATGAACTCTTTCATGTTTGTGAAGATGACTCTTCAATGCAAAGGCTTTACCACATTGATTACATTCATAGGATTTCTCTCCAGTATGGATTCTTTCATGGATGAGAAGATAACTCTTTTTTGCAAAGGCTTTACTACATTTATTACATTCATAGGGTTTCTCTCCAGTATGAATTCTTTCATGACTTTGAACACTACTCTTCTGTGCAAAGGCTTTACCACATTGATTACATTCATAAGGTTTCTCTCCAGTATGAATTCTTTGATGGCTGAAAAGATAACTCTTCATTGCAAAGGCTTTACCACATTGATTACATTCATAGGGTTTCTCTCCAGTATGAATTCTTTCATGATTGTGAAGACTACTCTTCAATGCAAAGGCTTTACCACATTGATTACATTCATAGGGTTTCTCTCCAGTATGAATTCTTTCATGGGTGAGAAGATAACTCTTTTTTGCAAAGGCTTTACCACACTGATTACATTCATAGGGTTTCTCTCCACTATGGAATCTTCCATGAATTTGAAGACTACTCTTCAGTGCAAAGGCTTTACCACATTGATTACATTCATAAGGTTTCTCTCCAGTATGAATTCTTTCATGGCTGAGAAGATAACTCTTCATTGCAAAAGCTTTACCACATTGATTACACTCATAGGGTTTCTCTCCAGTATGAATTCTTTCATGACTTTCAAGATGACTCTTCCGTGCAAAGGCTTTACCACATTGATCACATTCATATGGTTTCTCTCCAGTATGAATTCTTTCATGACTTTGAAGATTACTCTTTCTTGCAAAGGCTTTACCACATTGATTACACTCATAGTGTTTCTCTCCAGTATGAATTCTTTCATGATTGCGAAGACTATTCTTTCCAATAAAGGCTTTAAAACATTGATTATATAAATAGGGTTTCTCTCTTGTATGAAATTTTTCATGACTGTGACGATTTCTCATCTCTGCAAAAGCTTTATCACATTGATTATATACATATGGTTTCTCTCCAGTATGAATTCTTTCATGTCTGTGAAGATCACTCATCTGTACAAAGGCTTTACTACATTGATTCTCTCGAGTTTGAATTCTATGTACTTGATGATGAAGATTGTGATATGCAAAGGCTTCATAATTTTGATTATACTCATAGGATTTTCCTTCCAAATGAATTCTTTGGTATACTTCTAAAGAGCAATCAGATCTAAAGGCTTTATCATGTTGATTACATTCATAGAGAGCCTCTTCGTTATTGGTTCTTTGGTGTGTTTGACGATGCCTGTCAAGCCTAAAGCCTTTAGTAGATGACTCACATTTATTATCTTCACTTCTCACATGAGCTTTTTCACATCTTTGAAGAGAACTTGAAGAACTCAGGGTCTGACCACCCTGATTGCATTCATAACAATTTCTTATACTGTGAGACACACTACATGTGAACAGTGAACCAGAAGACAGAGATGAATTTCCATATTCCTGGTCCTCATAAGGTTTTTCTCCAATGAGAGTTTCTTGATGAATTCCCACTGAAGTTGGAAAACCAGTTAATTGTAAACTTGTATCACAGTCATCATGTCTTCTCATAGTGGGGACTATCACATATCTTCCATTTGTTTTGAGAGAGACAGAACTACAATGCTTTTTTCCATGTCCCTTATGCTCACATAGATTGTATCCAGAGTGACAGATGACACATCTGGTAAAGGAAGATAACAAATAAAGGGTTTTCACATTGCATTCACATAGTCGAATGTTTTGTGTGTCATACAGATGTGGAATAGAGGTTCATGTTTATACACCAAGACAACCTCTTGGTCTCTCATACAGTGCTCCCCTCACTAAACTATGCTAAATCACTCACTACAAGTATATGAGCAACACTAGCTTTAATACCAAAGCTTTGCTTATAAAAGGTCTTGGCCATAAACTAATGCCCTCATCAATGATATCATAATTGTAAGGCATGATGGTAATTGGATACACAGTTCTACAACATGCCTCTCACACGGCTATGATTGAAACTGTGACATCTACTATGGCATTATTTCCTTGTCTTGTCCTTAAAGGATTGCTTTACAAACAGTGATCAGCTACCTGACGTTGGATTACATGGTGTTGTGACAATTTAATAATCATCACAAAGCTGTGCCTATTTACACAGTTGCTTCTCATTAAAAGTTCAGGGCACATTAACATTTTTTCAAACTGTTTGAAATCTCCTGCTCAGGCAGCCCCATTGCAGAAAGCCTGCCATCCATGGGTCCTCCCCCAGAGATGTCTGGGACTATGCCTACAAGCTATTTAAGACCCAGCCCATACATGTGCCATGGGTGCTCTCATGATCTGTGTCCTGCTTTCCTGAGAGCCACATAGGACTGCTCTGCTTTGCCTTGCCCTTTTTATTAAAGCTCTATTTATTAATTCATTTTGATTTGGTTTACTGCACCGGTGACGGAGGAACCTACAAACTGGAGATCCAATACTTATCTTTGGTGCACTGGCCGGGGTGAGTAGCCCTTCCACAACCATGTGGTGTGGCTGTGGAAGGCCATTCACTCTCTCTCCCCACTCCACCTTTGCCACACTGAATGAACAGCTCAGTAAGCCTCCCATTCCCAAACAAAATGTCTTAAAGGTCCAGGACCTCTTCCAACCTGCAGACTGCCTGCTGAGCCACTGCAGTGCCAGGTGACTCCAGCCTGTTTCAGGGTAGAGACAGTCGCTGCCCTTGGAATTCCCTGTGTGAGAGAGACTTCACCAGAGTCCACCCCACACACAGCTCCCAGATGTGATTGGTGTACCTGCCCTCACAACAACATCCCCAGCAAATGGCTTGTGAATGGGTACTTGCTGAGTCCAATTTCTGTCCCCAGAAATTCTGGGGTTGTCTCCTCCAAATTGGGGCTGCAAGAATACTGCCCCCATACCTCTCTCTTCCTTGTTACTCTGCATCTTGTTCCCAGCGTGTAGTTCGGCCGCACTGTGATTCTAATGCCCCTATTCCTCTCCCTCCCCTGTTCTGTTTGTCTGTCTGTCTGCCTCTCTCCTTCCTGGCATATGACCCGGTCACACCGGGATTCTCCCAGTTAAACATCCATTCTCTTTGGTCCTGTCTGCTCTCACACCCTGAACTACTGCATAAAAGTCTCCAGCCTGTTGGTCTGACTGTTTGCTCCCTCATTCTTTCCTCCCTCCCACCAGAGACGCTGCCGACACCACACCACACCACACCACCACTCACCTCCACCACCGATGCCACCACCACCATCACCACCTCACTGCAGCCCAGGGAGGTCCCTGTCCCCATACTCCTCACCCCTAAAATTCTACCTGCCCACTCCACCCTTAAGCCTGTTCTCCTTCAATACACTCTGCTACACCTTCCTCCCTCCTAAAAATCCCTTTTTCCAAAATTCTCATCTTGCTGCTCTGACTTACTCAACGGGGCAGCACGTGCTGCTACTCTGTTTTTCAGTTTCCCTCTGCAGCAACTTCTTTGGGATCTGGGTATCAGGCGTCCAAACCTGAGTGGAGCCTCATTAAAAAAAAATTGTTTCTGTTAATGATCCTGTTTACTTTTTATGTGTGGTGGAAATGTGTGAATGGTGTGGCCACACATGTGTGTTTCTGACTAGTTTTGAATGTCTGGGTTTACGTGTCCTGAATGTATCTTGCTAATTGGGTATGTTTTAAAATCTGTAAGGCTTGTGACTACAGATTGAAACTGTTCTAGAGAACATCACCAGTCACCATTTTGATTGAGGTTAAAGAAATACTTCACCACCATCTTTAATAAGGGTAACCACTTGGACTGGCCCCACCAAGGAACATTAGGTCTCCAATATAATTTGGGTTAGGATATATTTCTGTTGGATAATTTCTGTCCTGTCCTAATAACAAGGTTTCTTAAACAGAATTTAAAACAATGGTGGTTTTGATAATTGATATTGAAATAAAAATTGTTTGCAATGGTAAAACTTGGTTTTGCCTAATATATCTTAGGATCACCACTGAAAATTACAGACTGAATCTTCTGGCTTTTATGAACAATGGTAAGCTGTAACTAATTGGGTAAACTGTACATTTAGACTTAACCAACATATGCCCTCAAAGTTAAACCTAAACAACATTTGTCTAGTTTAGATATACCTAACATATTTTATTCCCTCATTCGCAAACACTCTGAGATCTGAGAATATGGCATTTAATATAAAAGCTTTTTATGAGAGGCATGCCAACTCCTGGAAGCATCCTGTATCTTCTCCAAGAAGATGGATGGCCACAGAAGAACTTCCACCTGGACCCTTGCCTCATGTGTAAAAAAGCCAGCCACACAGTGAAAAGTTGCTTTACACCTTTAACTGCTGCTGAGATCATGTCCAGACTATGAATAGGTGGAGCATTGGGGGAACAATTGTCCCACTCTGTCAAGACAGGTAGGTCGATCTGCCCAAATTTCTACTCCCCAAAGAATCTGTCAGATGCTCTGTGCTTGGCATCTGAACAAGTGGTACCTCTGGGACTTGTCGCCCAGTGACCACGGAGAGACTTTGGACTGCCTGGGTAACTGGAAAGCTCCTTCACTCCTGCTTATTTACTTATCCTTCTCAGATTTCATGATGTTCGATGACCAGGGTACTAATAGATTTACCAGTTTAACAGCACCCCCAATCCCAAGGCTACAATCACCTTAGTAGCTTATTAGTACATTTCCTATTAAAAATAAAGACAGGTGTGCCTCATTCACAGACTCCATGGTACAGGATAAACTGGTTTCAGATGTAACTTCATAGGTTCAAAGTTTTAGGTTTGATAAATGCAGTTTTGACAAACTGATAAAAAATTGATTACAGTTTTCAGGGGCCCTTAAATTTCTGTGGATTTTACTGGTCCAGCTTTTAGAGCTAGGTTAGCACTAGAGAGGATATAGAACCCTGGAGGCATGTTCAACTCCCTCCTCCTTCACTCATACAACCTCCTTTCTTCAGTGAATTTAGACTTAAAAACATTCATGCCTTTTAACCCAAAGTCATAGCTTTATACTATGACACCAAGATGTAAATCTGTTCCAGTAGTTTTACAGACACCTGAAGGTTCCTGGGAAAAGGGCTCTTCTACTTCATAAAGAAGTCTGACTTAATGGAAATTAATTTCTGTTTCCAAAGCCTATTTTTGACCCCACCCATTTTTGAGCATATTCTGTAGGTTCATTCCTTCTGCCTGGGCCAAGGTCAAACCCACAGGGGGCCCTACAGATACACCAGCTCCTGCAACAGCTCTGAGGATGCCAACCACCAAACAAGGATGCCAAATGGACAAATACTAACAGGTGGATTTCACCCACATGCCTGCTCATAAAAAGGCTCCATATCTCTTAACTCTTATTGACACATTGACAGGATGAATGCTCTCCAAACATCCCAAAAAACAGCAGATGCTATGACTCCAGTACTCCTGGAAAACATCATCCCTAGATTTAGCATGCCATCTCCCCAAGCTCCTGGGACTTCATTGCTGGTACCACCTCTTCAGGCACAAGTGGACACCTACCCAGCAACTGAAACCTTGTTTTTCAGGATGTCCCAATTAAGGGCATATCTGGACTCATGCCTCACTCATTCACCCTTGACTCTTATGTACAACCAGGACATTTCTCAGTTGCATTCTTTCTGGCAGTCTTCCTATTACCAATGGCTATCCCTGTTCATAAGGACAGTGATAAAAAGCTATTCTTTTTTCTCCTAGCAATCTGCTTTCTCTGCCTCCTCAAGAATAGATGCATGAGGTCCTCTGGATGGCAGTATCCAAATGCTTCTCCACCCATAACCCTGCTGAGCATGGGCCCACCTGACT